GTTTTATACGGTTCGATACGGGTACATGTATTGTTGCACCCCTAAAATACATATTATATATATACTGTATGAGTGGCTCAAGACTTTAGCACAGTACCCGGTGTGTTTTAATATGAAATAATTTAGTTTTGTGGTTTCAAGCACTCATCCAGACTTGTGCTTGTTTTCTCTCAGACTTCAGCAGCTGGAGAAGATGGGTTTCCCCACAGATAAAGCTGTGGTGGCATTAGCAGCATCGAAGCAGCTGGATGGCGCCATCTCCCTACTTATTGAAGACAGCATCGGAGAGCAAGCTGTGGTGGTGTCCAAGGGAAAAAAACGTCTATCCCTGCAAAACACTTAGACAACTGAACTCGGTCTTTATCTACTTTTGCACTCAAGAGTAATATGCTTAGGTTTTGCTGAGCTTGAATTCTTTCTGTTGATTGCAAGAACAGTTTAGAAAAGAAAAATATTTAACAAAAAAAAAACAGTTTTGACATGTAGATGCAAACGATTTGTTTGCATAACTTTGCACCAGAGCAAAAGACAGGATGTTGTTAGTTTGTTATAAAACATGTTTAATGAATACTTTTTGTACCACACATTTAAACAGATGACATGTTAAAATAATAATAATAAAAAAATTTAAACAATATTTTATTACACTGATCATCTTGGCAGTATTATCTTAACACAGTAACACATTTGCAAGAAAAAAAATTCAAAATACAAAATGGTTACACAACAGTTTACAACATAAACTAAAATTTGTCATTTAAATAGTTTCACAATAAGTTTGATATAAGATGAAAAAACAAAGTGTTTTATTTMATTTCTAACCAGTTTACCAACACAGCTGTGGTAAAAATATGTTCAAGTTCCAGTAACACTTTCCCATGTGTTTAAAATCTCAACATGAACAGTTTACCTTTGATCAGGTTTTTTCCCAGATTGCAGCGCGCTTTTTAAAAATTTATATATATTTTTAAGTCAATGCTAATCGGCCGTGTATCAGGACGCACTTCTTGCAAAAACTAACACCAGAAAACAAACTACAAATCACTACTAAAAGCGCGAAGCTCACACAGAAAAGAAACAACTTCATCTGTTTAGTGCACTACATAACACTGAGTTCAACAAAATAACAATGAATACAAGAGGTTTGTAAATTTGTCCTGCAAACTGTAAAGGATGAATACACTTCAATAATATTAAACACTCTTCAGATTGCAGTTAAATACAAAGTGTTTCCTCACATCTGATTTCTCCTTCACTTGAGTTTTCTTAATGACCCTTTTTGTTTAGAACCAATTATAGCTCAACAAGCACCACAGATATTTAAAATGGTAGTTATTATTGTCTTTAGTTTTATAGCTGAAGACATGAAATACACTAGCAGCTATTGGGAGCATTTGGTTATGATGGTGGGTGGTGGTCGAAGCAGTTCTCGGAGTATCAGTGGAGTTTCCCTGAGGTGTCTCCCATCCTAAAATCTTACAATAAAGCCCCGACTGGGGACCAGATGAAAGCCGATGAGACTAGATGAGAGGAAGTCGACCCAGCCTGTGTTCCTCAGGGTGAGTGAGGTGTGCTACTGCCCTCACACCTTGGAATCGGAGAACAGAGGGGTAGCAAGTCGACGTGGAAATGTCCCTGCTCGCTTATCTCTGTAGAAACTAGGAGAGGTTGTGCCAAACGGTTCATCCCCAGACCCTAAATCAGGCTCTGTTGAAGAAGAGACAGCAGTTGGAACGGGGCCTCCCTGTCCTTGAACGTGTGGACATACAGTACAGTTCCCAACCAGCAGGCCTTATATTTGGTCATTTTGATTAAGGATCAATAATCAGCTGTAGGGACGATAATTGTTTTGTAACTGGTAAGTGTAATTTATGTGATATTCTATATAATTTAAACGAGTGGTTCCCACACTTTTTAGCTTCTAACATTGCTAACAGAGATTTGTAATCCAAACTAGTCCAAAGCATAAAAACACTTTAAAAAAATTATGCTATTATTTATGAATTTACAAATAATGTTTATGATCTCATGTAACAATTAAGGCAAAAAATATTTGATTATGCACACATAGGGTCATCTCAATATCCCATATTTGGTGTCTCAACCCACAGTGAAGTCTTCYCACTTTACAGAAAGTTCAACCATGGGTTCACACAATCATTTTTTAACTTTTTGTGTTTGTTTTTGTGAGAAGTTGACTACATATGATGTATAAACATTAAATATTAAAGCAATAGAGGGTTATTTATTAGACTATAGCAGCTAATTTGAACAAATTGATCAAATATATAACCTTTATTAGCAATTTAGACATAAAAATGTTTCATAAGTTGGCATAAGTTGCTAGTGTGACAGGTCCTTTACCAAAAATAATTAAATGGAAGCTTTTATTTTTATATTGCCTTTCTTCCTTCCGCTGTTCTCTCCTGCAGCGGATTAGCCAAGGCTCAAACCCGCAGCCTCATCCACAGCACTGACCACTGCACCTTATTTTATTTCTCACCTGAAAAATGTTATCACAATTATATTCTCAACTTTTTTCTTTAAAATATCAAACCAGCTGACCACAACTTATAAAGCCATGAATACAATCTTAAAACTGTTTGCTCCAGCAGATAAACCAAGATGTTCTTTTTTTTAATGAAACAAAAATGCAAGACAACAGACCATAAGCACAATTTTACTCAATTACCTGACTGAAATAGGTTTTTTGTTAATTACTTGGTATGATTCAAAAATTTTAAATGTACACAGTTAGAGTGAATAAAATCTCATTCAACTTAAAATAGTGGATTTTACTTTATAAAAGACTCATGACAGTATAATCACTGTTAAGAAAAAGTATAAAACTCTAAATTTTACTATTCTGCTTCATTTTGATTGTGGTGAAGATGTGGTCAAATTTGATTGTCATTAAATGTTGCTTTATCCTAAATAACACTTAAAAGTCTAATGTACATACAGCAGATATCCACTAAAACCTCAACTCAAAATTATTATTTTAAAGTCAATAATAATGTTCAACTGTTAAAAAAATTAATACATAATTGAAAGACATCTTTTCAGCAAAATCTTACAACAGTTAAACATTCAGTTACAAGTCATATATTTTCTAACATGTTCTAAGTTTAGTTGAGGGTGTAAGTGAGGACCGGCAGGACTGTGGGTGTCTCAGCGTTACCTGGCCAGATGATAGCCTCCAGAAGAGTCACCCTGCGAGCCAGAAGCTCAAGGTCTGCCTGCAAGTCTTGGAACATCTGCAAGCTAATGTCCTATCAGAGAGCAGTGACAGGGGTACCGTGTGAGGCTGTGGAAAAACCCGTCTGAGTCCTGGGGGGCTACCTGTGACTGTTCCCACCCATCTGCCTCCGCACCGCGGTACAGAGGGAGTACGAGCACCCCYTCTCACAGCTTTGACCCCTGCCTAAAGTTGACCGCTCCTCAGGCCTCCTACTCACCATGAATACCGATCATAGTCTCGAGGATTAAAACCCTCTCGGCTAAGATCTTCAGCGCCTCTCTGATCTGATGTATCCCGTCCCCCTGTGAAGATAGATACAGCCGTCATAGTAAAGAGCGCGAGCTAMAAGAACTGCTCGCCAAGATGCAAGTCGTGTTTCCAAATCCAGTTCAGCAAGTTAGAGGGTTAAAAACAGTCCACATATCTGCCCAGCATCACGATCATCATGTAGCTCTCTGTACGCCTCCCTCATTAACATGCTGCTGTATTGCATCATTCTCTGCCATGCTGGGAAACATCAGCATGCACATTACAGGCCAGCATCATACTGGGTCACATAACCAACACTTTTCCCAGGACATAGGTACAGTCATGCCAACTGCACCTCCTTGGCAGTTTTGTTGAAGCTCCACAGTGTTCATTCCTGACACTGCAGACTCGTTACCTGTGGTCATCCTGCAGCGTAAAGTCAGTAAAGGCTCACAACAACATCTGATTTTTTTTGTTAAGCAATAAGTCCTTCTGAGTCATACATTTAAAAAAGACTTTCTGTAACTTGAGATGTAAAACAGACAGAAACAAGTAAAGAAAAGCATGCAGAGAAGCATGGCTGAAGCTTTTGATGCACAGATGAAGGATTTTTATTTTTTTATGGGCACTATGGACAAGACAAATCAAGGACATAAAATAAACATTTAAAATGGGAAGTAAAAACGGCAAAATTGTCTTAGGAGGGTTGGTTGTTCTTTGATTTTATCTGAATTCTCTAAAGTTTGACTGCCAAGTATTACTTTAAGGTACTGTGAGGATATTTAGTGTTCGTTAACTGAAATCGTGACGAAATCCCATGAATGTTGAACAGATGACAATGTGAAGAGAAGGACCATACAACACCAGTGACTAGAGTGAACGGTGGTTTAATGTTCTCTGTGCAGGCATGAAACCAAAGCTGAATGAAAACCGGAAGTCCCGGTCTATATATACTGTACATGTTTCTTCAGTGCCTGGTACGCCCACTACAGGCCTACGGCTGAATCACAGACACTCCAAACAGCAATGCTTTCCTGATGTTTATATTAATGGATTTATCATGTGTTGCCATGGTGTTTCAGGAATGTAACTAAACCTATTTTAATCAAGACATAACCATAATCAAACAATAGATTATACTGTAAAAGTCAAGCCTTAAAAAGGAAAACTATGGAAATGTTGTAGTGCTTTTAAAATCAGTATCTAACATGTCTAATAAATTTCTTCAGTACCATGACGAAGCAGTGATTAGTGCCGTCGCCTCATAGTAAGAAGGTCACAGGTTTGCCACCTGCCTGGAGCCTTTCTGTGTGGAGTTGCCTGTTCTCCCTGTGCATGTTAGGGTAATTGCCAAATTGTCTCTAGGTGTGAGTGAGAGTGAAAGTCTCATTTGCCTCTATGTGGGCCTGTGATGGGCTTGTGTCCTATCCAGGGTGTTTGCAGATTTGTGCATAATGACCACTGGAGAGTGGTACCTGCTCCCCGCGAAGTGGAAAAGTGCACGGGAAAAAAATGTGCATCAAATTTGCATCCACTGTTTAACCAACGTTAGCAGACTAACTTAGACAGGAAATTCAGTCACAATCCTAAAAATCAGAAAGGTAACATCATGGATCTCTAGCAGTTAAAAGTTCTAATATCAACTCTTTATCTTATTAACTTCAAGAATTTCCCTTTTTGTGCCTTCTACCAGTATTAGTTCACACATTATTTAGATTTAGTAGCCATTTTCAGTCATCCAGGAAAAAAAATACATGCAACATGCTTATCATGCAAGGTCACAATTTGGGAACGAAGAGTTTAGCTGTATCCACTTCACACAAAATCAGAGCACAACACCTCTAAACCCAACAGGACCCACCACTGACACATAATGGAGTCATTTGGCATATACACCTCAGATTATTACTCTGTGCTTCATTGAAATAACTCTAAATATTGTGTATAATAGACAAAATGAGTAAAAAAAAATAGCACAGCGGAAATAAAGCAAAATTAGGAATTTAGGATCAATCAAACCTGCTGTTTTTTTGTGTCTTGTTTGTTTGTTTATATGTATATGCCAAAGTCAGATGCTGAAAAGGTGACTGTGAAAGGTAGCCATGGAGACAGTAGCTTGCAGAGGGAGTCAGACAGCTTTTGGGTCAAGAGGACAGCAGTCCAGMGCTCACCCCAAGGACTAACAACACACATACACAATATATTTAGACACTAATCATATATGCTCAAATAAATAAAAAGAAAACAGACTGTTTAATGAAACAACAGGTAGGAATGTACGATGAGAAAAAAAAGGTGCAGCTGAACACATCAGCTGGTCTGCAGTCAGATGAACACACAGATTATTAAATATATCTTCACAATTTGGTCAGGTTAGAATAAAATAACAAAATTTTAAAATGTGATGATTTCTATGGAAATATCTTACATTCATAATGCTAAAATGATAAGAAGTTAACAAAAAAACCTGATTTAGACACGGAATAAAATAAATCGAAACTTTGTGTCATTTAGTGAACCAGCATCAGCTACAGTCTTACCGGCAAGCCCTTTTCTCCCGGCTCTCCTTTGGGACCTGGTGCTCCCTATGAAGACACATTGAACGTGTGAATTTCAAACTTTAATTGAAAGCTGTGAATTAGAGTTTAGAGYCACAGAAAAAAAGCTTCTTCTACCCCTCAGTGTGCTGCTGAGTGTAATCCACTGCCACATACCCACTTGACATGTGTTGATATAAACCCTACGGAGTTTGAGAAGAAGCAGCTTACCGGCTCGCCTCGGGGACCTCTGTCGCCTGTGTAACCTAAAAGACCCTGAAAAACCAAAAGGTCTGTCTCAGAGTTGATGATGAAGGAAAATCTACTGAAAACACCACCCTGCAGCAGGCTACGAAGTGCCTGATACTTTTAGAGTAACATTTGGCAAAACGTCTAAAAACCTGCGGACAAACTTACAACATAACTAGAGAAAATACACTCACCAGCCACTTTATTAGGTACACCTGTCCAACTGCTCGTTAACACTTAATTTCTAATCAGCCAATCAC